GCTCAAGCGGTGTTGCTAGCTGCTATTGCCTTCTGCCTCTTGGCAGTCGGGATCGGGCCATCAAGCTGCACTATTGCTCAATCGGCACTAATTAGTATCGTGCGCATCTCTCTTTCTCTCGCTCTCTCTCTCACACACACACACACACACACACACACACAGAGAGAGAGAGAGAGAGAGAGAGAGAGAGAGAGAGAGAGAGAGAGAGAGAGAGAGAGAGAGAGAGAGATCAGGTGGTGCCTATCGTGGGCCTTGAACGCCTGGGATCCGAGTAGACATTGTGGGGAGGCAGACGAGGGCTGGGCATCGGGAGAGGATGATTGTTGAATGACTTCGAGCTCGATTCTTGTGTCCCTGTTCCGCTCCACCGTCGTCTTCCCTCCCTCCTCATTGTCCGTGGATGGTTGCTCATGTATGAGTGCAAGGAGGGATCTTTTGTCTATGGGTGTTCCCCTCGTTGCCGTGTGTCACGTGTGATGATGCATGTGTGAGTGGGGTCATTCTTCCGAGTCTTCCGCTGTGCTGCATTATTCCTTGTCGATCTGTTGTGTGAGTTCCATTCGTCATGCTGTGGTCCTATGGACCTGCAGATCCCCAACTTCGGGGTATGCATCAAAGAGAGACAGCTGGTGGTGACCCACCTTCATGGCTGCCCACTGCTGCCCACTGCTGCCTCCTGCCGCCGCCCCCTGTTGCAGCCTCCCGCCCTAGCGTCCTCGATTTTCCCTCCTTTGTCTCTGTCCTCGCTCGTCCCTCCTCGTCGCCGTCCTCCCTGGTCCCTCCTCCTTCCTTTATCGACCCTCATCAACCATCCTTCGTTGTCCTCATCGTCGTCCCTCGTCGTCGTTCCAATGCCCTCCTTCGTTGTCCGACCGCGTTGACAACACCAAGCACTATGGCTGTGAGGAGTTGGAAACCGGCCCCGCCCTGGCCCCAAAATGCTTTGGGGGGAATAGGCCTGCAGAATTTGAATTCGAATTCTGCAGGCCTTTCCCACCAAAAAACAATTGGGGCCAGGGTCGGGCTGGTTTCCAACTTCGCACGTCCATTTTTTTTGTTTTTGCCAGGGGGGCGCGCTAAGGAACTTTTGAAACCCTTTTCTTTTTTTTTTGGAGTACCCTTATTATCGCTGTGTGCCGCATTGGGTGCACGGCGCGGTGCAGTGCGCAAGGTGCACCAGGCGTGCGCTGAGGCGCACACCTCGATGCGCCGCAAGTATGGTTTATAGGTGTACCAACTGAGCTAGGCCTGCTGGTGTTATGATTCTGGTTGTACGTTGCCTGAAGGCCAACACTCACTCACTTAAACTTCTGCACATGCCCATACACACACAGAAGGAAGGGGACAGGATAGGAGTATCACACCGCACAGGGAGAGATAAACACAGCGGAAGACTTGTCCATGCGATATGACAGGGTATACTGGAGGTGCAATTCACTCCATTCAATCCTCACAACCAGTCATAGAGAAAAGCCAAGCAGATCACATCCAGGAAACAATGAAACGATGATAGTCCAAACACAGTTACACACTGTGTATTAAACTCAGAGTCTCGAAATGTCCGGATCACTCCAGAACTACAGTGCGCTGCTCAGAATTGAGCAGCGCTTCACTCTCCAACCCTGACTAACCCCCGGAACACCCCCTGAGCCCTGAAACATCAAGCGCCACCCAAATACAGACTCCTGGGGGCAGCGCCACCCTGAAACAGGCCTCTGAGGCCAAGCGCCACTCAGAGGATGAAGAAGAAGACCAGCACCACGGTATCTGATGATGACGAAGTGTCGGGAGGCTTCCCGGGTGGAAGCCCGCAGCAGCGCCACCAAACCCTAATCAGATGACCTCTGAGATGAAGAAGCTGCAGCTATGGCTGCARCGCAAACCCTCTGGGACCCCACTCCGGAGGAGGGTCCAGCAGGGCACCAAYCTCTCTCGCCTCCAGCAGACCTCGATAACCCAGACCTCTGTCAGCCCCTGCGTGCTGGCAGAGTACAGCGCAGGTCCCAGCTATGGCCTGCGCTCCGATGGTCTGGCTATGCCCGTCTTCCTCCACGCTGAGCCGTCACCATTTCCGGTTCACGCGTAGCGCAGCAGCGATGTACACGGTACCCACTGGCAAAAGCCCTGAACCGATGTGCCCATCCTACTTCTAGCCTACACCGACCTAGACCGGACTGACTGACCGACCGGTACCGTATCTGTTTCAGCCTCTCGGCCTCTACCGGACCCGGCTATAGGCTATAGGACCGTCTATTCAGAATAGGCCCATAGGGCCTGTCTGTCTAGGGGTAGCCCGGGCCTGCTATCCGCAGTTAGGGTAGCTGTAGGGAATCAAGTTAGT